GATGAACTATATGAAGATGAATTTTATGGATATATTCACACTTCTACCCCATCGCTTTTGATTATCTGCGTAGTCGCCCAGAATCTCATTACCGCCGCTATCGCGTCTATCTCACGGATTAGAAGAGATTTATCAGCGACAATTGAAGGAATGTAATCCGGATTGGGATTATATACGTTTTTATTGGATTCTTAATTGGATTCTTTGTCAAGTGTCGGATGTTCGATGACATTGTTCGCGAGTTATATTATTACACAGTCGCCTTCTATTAAACAAAAGAAAGCAGCCAGTAAAAAGGGCAGACAGTGATGGATACAGAAATATTTTTCTTTTTATTCTGTAGCTTTGTAGGTTTTAAGCATCTCGTAATATTTCCTTGGAAATTGATCCGGTTTTCGTATCCATTTTTTTTTTTTTTTTTTTTTTTTTTTTTTTTTTTTTTTTTTTTTTTTTTTTTAAAACATTACCCTTACTTTAGTTTATCCTGTGTTGTAAAAACAAACATATTTCACGCGGACAAACACACCCAGCGAACAAATCTGTTTTATAAAATGTCCCGTGTGGGAATCGTAACAATGTTTTTCTGTTCGTTTTTTTTTAGTTAATTTTCATTTATTAGTTTACCAAAAAAACTAAATGCAGAAAATTTTATCAATGTAACAGTGTTTTTCTGTTCGTTTTCAAACCAAACTGAAAGTAATGCGTTATTACTAAAGTTAAAATAAGAAATCATTGCTTAATTTGGATTTTTTAGGTTGTGGTAAACAAAAAAAAAAATATGAACAGTTTTAAAATTGATAACGGGGCTCTTTTTGTATTAGTTTCCTTTCGTTAAATCGATTTTTGCGGGTTGCCCTACTACCCCTACAGGTGCGAAACCACACCTATTGGAACAGGTACCCGTTTATCAGAGTGGTCCTCCAAGGTTCCGAATAGACAGTTTTAGATACCATTGAGTTTTGAACATCGCGCTTTGCAATAATCTTTTTTGTATTTCTAATTAAAAAAAAAAAGATTTAAAGTAAACAAAATTTCTAGATTTCTTAAGATCTGCTACCTAATAAACTTTGTGGAATTGTAAGATTGACAGCGAAACATCATCCTACAAGGATTAGAACAGAGGCGGATTGATTCAAACTACAAATCCGTCTCGAGCGTAAACCAAACACGACGCTTTACTTAGGAACTGCGAACCCGTTAAACGGTAACCGCAAACTAATAGCAATTATTAGTTGAGTCAACAATGAGTGCGGATCGTAATTATTACTTTGGCGTGCGAACTCTATAGTTTTCGAGAGCTCCCTCCTCCACCCCTTTCGCGCTTAATGGGAAACTTATTGAGGGGAAAGAGACGCAAGTTCGTAAGAATAACGTTCTCCCTCACTCAATAGGAGTCGGGTGATCACAGTGAGCTGAAGACATTTACGAGCAGATACTTTACATCAGAAGTTGAAGAGGTGTTTCGATAATTAAGTTCATGGTTCCATTGTACATTTTATCAAGTTTGATGTTCGTTAGTTTGCTCACAACGCTTATGTATTCTTTCTATACAGTAAAAGCTCAACGGATTTCAATGATATTCGCAATGCGGACGAGATAAAGATTCGGTTGACACAAAGTATATTTCCTTCTCGCCTTTTAGTTTAAGAAAATAGGGTATATTTTCTCCCTTCAATATGTCCTAAGGCAGTCCACAAGATGTCAGTTTTAAGCGTGAACACGGTTTTTGATATGAAAGGTTTAAAATAACTGCGACTAACACAAAAATAAGTTAAGATGATACTAAAATTAGTCGCTGTGTTAGTAAAACTAGTGGTTTCATGAGACTGTAGTTTAGCTTAATAGTCCTTGTGCTTGTGATGACTGACTACTACAATTCGAAATTCCAACGCCTTCAGTTTAACAATTAAATTTCTTCCAGTCGAGTGTATGTACACGTTTCTCTACCACCAAGTTTCTCTAAAGTATTACCCTCTTAAAGTGCTTCCCTCTTCGTGTAGTTGCTTTCCAGGAGCGTCCAACCCTAATTATTAACGATCCAGGCGTAGGCACGAAGGCAACAGATTGTTTCAAAGCGGCCCCGTTACTAAAGTTAGCGTAACGCCGACCAATTACAGTTTGACTTACGTTTCATTAAATAATATTATTCCCATCTCGGATTTGGTGTAACGGCTAGTTCCTCCCTCCTTTAAAGTCAAAATCCACTATATTTTATTGAGGTATATTTCTAGAATTTGACCTTAGCGGTGGTAGGGCCACGCTACAGTCTTCGCTGTTGCGCGAATGGGTAGGTCCGTTCGGTAAAGTACCACGACCTGACAGAAGACCAGCGTGAAGTGGAATTGTTATACTTCTGCGTTCTTCTTTCTCACATCTGGTGAGGGAGGTAGTTGGGGCCCTAAGCCTAAGCCTAAGGGTGTTGCAATTTTCAATCGGCGACGTTTATCACTTAACGTCAGGTCGCTTGTCACCTTCTTATGTAAGCTTCACAAGCTTTATGTTAGCGAACGATGACTTGCCGGTAGCTTCTCCAAAAATTTTACTTCATAATATAAATCAATGTTTTATTTAAGATTACTAATCAATAAAGGGTTCACATATTGTTTTATTGATTTTACGCGAATGTTATACATAGTAAATGAAACCAATTTACGGATTTTATCGCGTTTTTTATTTTGACTTGAACTCCCGACGTTTCGAACCCTTTCCAGCGTTCACGGTCACGGGACGACGGGTCTGTCCGAAACGGTAGTTTTTAGAATTTTTCCGGCAATTTTTTAAATCTCTCTCTCCGTAAGAACCATCTTCATACTTCAAGGAATATTATAAAAAAAGAATTAGCGAAATCGGGCCGACCGTTCACGCGTGATGGCGTGACCAAGGGGTGTACGGATTCATTTTATATATAGATTTTCAAGAGTTCCCTAATTATCTAAGGAGCCCAAGATCCAATGTCAATGAAATTAATATGTGACCACATGGGAAGCACCAGCTTTCGAATAAAAAACAGAATCATCAAAATCGTTTCACTCAGTCGAAAGTTCCGAGGTATCAAATATAAAAAAAATACAGTAGAATTGAGAACCCCCCCTCTTTTATCAAGTCGTTTGAAATTTTAATATATTCTTCGGCGACACATCACTCCCTGGCGAAATCGTTACCCCGCTGCTCCTAAAGAACCTTTCGGGCGTGGTATCATTATATTGATGTTCGTTCCCAACACTATAGTCGTCAGTATCCAGTGTGAATCGAACATATCGATATCGAGTGTCGTAGCTGGGTGATATTTCACATCGATAATGGGACCACGGGACTCGCCGGCCGTCGATATGGTGCCGGGGCATCCCCGCTCATCAATCAACCTTGTACGAGGACGATCGGTCGGCAGCGCGGACCGATTGTGTCATTAGGTACCATTCTCGCAGGGCGGCGGCGGGCGGGTCATTTCCGTTTCATTATGTGCGCGACGCCGTCCCTGCCACGGCATTAACGCCTTATTGTGAGCGCAAATGATGATCTCCGATTTGCTGAACGGAAAATGTCTAGATATGTGATAGAAAGAAATGTTTGGCGACTGTGGGATGCCTTAATCTCTTCTCATATTATCGTGTTTTTTTTTTTAATTCGACACTTAGCAAGCGATGGCGAACACCAGATATGATGCAGTCGTCTTTCGGCTTTCTGTTCCCTCACTCGCCGGATGGAACCTAACAGAATAAATACTCATAACCTCATGCCGCTCTTCTGCGAGGCCGTGTATCTCCCCGGTTGAACTGGCCTATAGGAATTGTTCAGTATGATGTTTATGCTCTACCCGAGTGTAATGGTCTTAATTTCTTTTTTCGCATAGTTAATCATTTTGTGCCAATTTTAGCGACAGTATAGAAAAAAAATCTCTCCTCATCTCTCAGATTTAAGCAAATATTAATATATGTATTTTAAACTCGAAAGTTTTTAAAAGAAATCGATTACTACACAAGTCCATTTTTTCATTAACGAAAAGCAAAACAAACTTCAAACATCTCGCTCTGTATTCATTTTATAATTGATTTTCATGAGTTCCCTAACGCCCGGTTTCTAAAACACTGATCATCGTAGATGTCAACTAATCAGCTGTCAAATGGATTTCAAATTACAATTTAGGTACCAAAAAGATGGTTAAACTCACTGAATTGACCAGATTGATCTTCTTTATGATCATAATGATCAATTCAAAGAGTTAAAACATCCTTTTGGCAACTAAAATAAAATTTGAAATTCATTTGACAGCTGATTAGTTGACATCCACGTTGATCAGTGTTTCAGAAACCGGGCGTAAGTATCTCCGGAGCCCAAAATCTAGCTTTCAAATATAATAGAATCAATCAAAATTGGTCCGCTCAGTGGAAGGTTCTGAGGTAACAAACATAAAAAAAATGACAGTCGAATTGAGAACCTCCTTTTTTGAAGTCGGTAGAAAAGGGGCTTGCTTTATTGTATCGGAGGAAGGCTTAAAAACATTCAAAATGGAACATGTAGAAAAGGTACGGAAAGATTCTCTCGTTCGAATTATCGTTGTAAAACGATATTCGAAATTGTTTGTATGCTGGAAAGGATATAACAAAAGAAGCGCAAGCATTGCTTCAAATGCTAAATAACAATGTAGAAAGAAGGCGTTAAGGTTTTTGTCGCTGTGGCTATCCCTTAGCCCTTTAGCTCAGTGGCTAGAGCATCAGGCCGCGAATGCCGAAGACGTCGGTTCGATTCCCACAGCGGTGACAATCTTTTCGTATTTTTTCTACATGTTTTAATGTGTTCAATCTTAAGTGCAGAGATTAGCACTATAAAAAACTTTAAAATTTATTCAAAATTCAAGTAATAAGAATCGAACCCGGGATTTGTCTCGACCTTTGCCCTAAGCCTCTAACGTAAGTGCTCATTAATTAGCTACTCGCTAAATAAAATTTTGTTGGGGTGATCTTCGAGCTATATCCAATTTACGCTTACATTCTCAATAAACAATGTTCAACGACGTTTATGTCCTTGTACCTGGGGGCTCTTTCGCAATAACGTCCATTACTGTCACCCCCCACCCCCCCCCCCCTCCCCTCTGCTGGAAACTGAAGAAGGTGTAGTAAAAATAATCCGCGGAATATACCTCCCCCCCCCCCCCCTCTCCTCGTGGGAAATCCCCCGGCGACGTCGCGTTCCAGTAAAGTTCCAATCAGTGTAAATATTAGTGTCACTATATTGGCGATTCTCCGTCTCGGTTTGGTTAGGTTTTAATTTGGACTGGGTTTTATGGATTTCGGCCTAGTAGATTAACTAAACAATATAAAGTTATACATGATATATGCGTAGAAGTATGTAAACATTCTCAATTTGATCAATGAGTCAAATAATTTTATCCTACTGCAATGAATCCGAAAAGGAGGGTCTTTGGCCTGTATATATGTACATCCGTTCTTATGGTCCCTCGTTCTATGGTTATACTAAATTTTGAACCGATTTTGAGGAATCGTATGTTGTTCGATTCTTCTTTATTCTCTGGGAATATTAAAGTTATAGAAAACCAAAAATGGCGGACTTTTGTAATCCCCAACTTCTTGGGTATCGTTTATCAAATATGGAATAAATAGAAGAAAACAGAGAAATATAATAAATAATGAGTCTGTCCCGTGACCATGAACGCTGTAAAGGGTTCGAAACGTCGAGAACTAAAATTAAAAATAAACGCGATAAATCCGTAAAATTAGTTTCATTTATAATGTGTAATCGCGTAAATACAAGAAATTATTATAAATAATGATGTTATTACGACCACAAACTAGGAGATGTAGGAAAAATATAATGATGAAACGGCGTATCAGAAACATAATATAAAACTCCTGAAATACCTTCCCGAAAGGAGCGTTACTATCGCCAAGTTGACCCGTTTCTTATGAACGCGCCGAAGACCAAAGCGAAAGCTCCTACCCGAAACGCATTGGAAGATGCTGAAGAGCACAGATTTGCATCTCGTATACATGAATACGTTGAAGGGGAAATGCGCTGGAAAATTCCTTTGCACGGATCGCACAATACCCATTTTCGCCCGCCCGTCTCCGAGTGTGGTCGGCCCGTTCTCAAGGTGTCGGCGCCGGTGCAAGCGATAAGCTGTCAGCGTTTATCACAGCGGCCTCGCTTCTCTGAGGCCTAGTTCACTTTGTATAATAGAAAAAACATTGTTGAGTTAATATTTAAACAACGCTGAGAGCTCATCGCTTGGACTGGCGCCTACACGTTTGCTTTTTTCGTTTCCATAGGGACTTAAAAGTAAGTTGAAAAGTATATAAAATATTCTCCCGTTCAATAGCAGTTTTGTGAACAAATGTAAATTCAATCCATCGGCTAGTTTTTGAATTTTGTGAACACAACTTACAGAATCTACATTTTTATGTATAAAGATTTATTATTGACTAGCGAACCGCCCAGCTTCGCACGGGTGCAATGTACATACAAACCTTCCTCTTGAACCACTCTATCTAGTTTAAAAAAAACCGCATCAAGATCCTTTGTGTAGTTTTAAAGATCTAAGCATACTTAAGGACAGACAGACAGCGGGACGACTTTGTTTTGTACTATGTAGTGATACTCAAGTGTCTGCTGTTGCATGAATAGTAATGTTGTGTTCTTTTGCTTAACTGAATTATTTATAAGTATTTTTTTTTATTTCTTTTATTTTTTGTGAATGAGGTAACCTGTTGTAGTGTAAAAGTGAATGGAGCGGTTGTTCAGGGCTAGGGTAATTATTAATTAAGTCCAGTTGTATCGCTAACCCGTTTACCAGCATTACACAAAATAAACAGGCAAATCCATAAGGGGTAACCGAAGCGAATTCGGTTAGTGAACGAAACCCCGTAATTGTCCGTGAACAATTCAAGTATGCACATAATTATATAGTCGGTGATTGGCGTTTAACGCTTCCCTCTTATGACTTGAACACCCAACATTTAGCTTTTCCATCACAGACCGCACTAAGTCGCCTTGTCAATCCAACTGTCCGAACGTGAGCTCTTATATTAGAGTTGTTGTGCGCTTCGGAGAATTCACCGACCAGGCTTGTGTGTGTTTCTTACGCTCTTGTTTCTTAACTTTGCAATATGATTGACGTCTGTCTGGCAAAGTGACGGCCGACTTTCGTCGTTGTATCGATAAAATGGCAATACATTTGACTACGTCCTGTGTATGGTTTCTCTTATTCGTTTCAATCACGGCGATGTTTTTTTTTTTTTTATCGCGATACGCTCTCTATCGATGGATATGCGAATCATAACATATCTTAGTGTTAAATATAAACCAAGAAATAAAATCTCCGGTGCTACTTATCTCAAGATATCATCTATATATTGCATAGAAAATGTATATTTGACATTTGACTGCATTCCAGACAGAGTATGTTTGTTGTTTTTATTAATTTTTTCAATTGATTTTACTCTTATGAATTGTATTTTTTTTATCTTGATTGTAAAGATTATTAACATTATTAAGTTTAAACTGGTGAATGAGGTAGCCGGGGCCGACTACAGGTGTTGCAAATGTCCATGGCGGCGGTTATCACTTAACATCAGGTGAACCACCAGCTCGTTTGCCACTTTGTCACATAAAAAAAGTTGTCACATGAATGGCAAATTAAAACTATACTGCTGCAATATAAATTAATTTGTTGTCAACAATGGAAATAGTTAAAATGTTTTATATTTAAACTAATTATAATTTAAGGATTATTAATTAAAAAAATGTATTTTTGTAAATACAGAGGCGGACTTAATGCCACCAGCATTATCTACCAGTCAACCTTTGAATGGTTCAGCGAAGTTTAAGTGGGTGCATTGATTATAAAATAAAAAAAAGAAACATCATTGAAATCAAATTTATAAGCAATATTACATAAAATACTGTACTAGACATATAATAAAGTAATGTAAGGTTTAATTCATAAAATATTTTTACTAACCATGCTTTGCGACATTTTCCTGAAGCTGAAACACCGCCCTCTTGTCGCTCGTGACTTGGACACAGATCAACGTCGCCCGCACACCGTAAGTGCCACCTGAATCTAGTATCTACCCCCCCAGTCGAGGCCAGCTGTTCAAACCGCCGCCTTCGTCGTGCAAACAGGGGTAGATATCTTCGCGGACCCAATTTTCAAAAGGTTGTCAACGCATCTGTAATCCTCGGGTGTATCAGATGTCAATGGGCGGCGGTATTCACTTAACATCAGGTGAACCGTCTGCTCGTTTGGCAACTTCACATGAAAAAAGCCGTAACGATTTAAAGCCTATATAATATACTAGCGACCCGCCCCGGTTTCGCACGGGTGCAATGTATTATACATATAAACCTTCCTCTTGAATCACTCTATCTAGTAAAAAACCGGCATCGAGATCCGTTGCGTAGTTTTAAAGTCTAAGAAACATAGGAACAGACAGACAGCGGGACGACTTTCTTTTATACTATGTAGTGATTAGACCGTCTGAACTAGTAGTCCGTTTCGGTTGTTTTTTTTGGGAGATAGTGGTAAGCGAGTTGGTAGTTCACCTGATGTTAATTGATAACCGTCGCCTGTAGACGTTTGCAACACAATTCGGGTTGCAGATGCGTCGTAGAACGTAATAATTTTTAAACTCCTGTCCTGTTACAGCTCTGGCTCTATGGTGTGAGAATCGTATTGTATCGATTTTTTTTTTTACTTTAACACGTAATCCGTAATTGATATAATAGATACCGTCTAAGCCTTAATAAATATGTTTGCGCAAATGATTTACCGTGGTTGAATATTTAATTCAAATGATTGCACAATGTTGGGAAAATGTTAATGGATGTATTAATAACTAGCTGCTGCCCGCGACTCAGTCTGCGTAGAATAGGCGTATGAAGGCGTAACATTCAGACAGAAAGACAGATATACATACAGTATGTATATAAATGATAGCCTATGTCTTATTCTGATGTATAAACTATATTATTGTAAAGTTTCATTAAAATCCATTCAGTAGTATTTTCGTGAATGAGTAACAAACATCCATCCATACATAAAAAACTTTTGCCTTTTATAATATTAGTTAAAGTTAATAATAATTTAGCATCATTCGTCGCTGTTGAATCAGGATACTCGCTCTATCTTTGCGGACAGATCCCGAGTTGTTAATGAACAACTCGGGATCTGTCCGCAAATGGCATCTCGACCAATGGGTCGAGATGCCATTTATCGATCGTATTTTATAGGTCTTAACCTTCGAAACGTGACTTTGCGAATAATTTGAATGACCTACGAATGACATATAATTAAATTAGGTATTTGTACTTCATCCGCATACTTCCACTATTCGTAGTCTCCCTATCATGATCTTTATATTTATAGAAGCATTACCTATTGATTGTTAAAACAATACAACCGACCGGTTCGAAAAAGAAAACCACTGACCTGCGTAGATCCGGCGAAATAAACTCGGCGGGAAATTTTTGAAGTGAAAACTTCTTTAGGAGCATTGAGCACTTTTTGGGTGAACAGAAAATCATGGAGCTCGCGTCATCGTCGCCGAACGCTTTCCATGAGATATTTGGTTATGATGTAAAAAGGTATATCTAAGCGAAATATATTTGTTTGTTTGTTTCTTTTCTTTTTACTACAACTGTGGTAGGGCCACGCAACAGTGTTCACTGTTGCATGAAAGGGCAGGTCCCTCCGGGTAACTACCGCCACGACCTCACAGAAGACCAGCGTAAAGTTGAAGTGTCACAATTCTGCGTTTCGTCTGGTGAGTGGGGTAGCCGGGGCCCACTTTATTTAAAAGTGGCAACGCAGTTGCAACCCTATTGGTGTTGCAAATGTCCGTGGGCGGTGGCTATCACTGCTCGTTTGAAACTTTCTCACATGTACAAAAAATAACCTTTAACACACAAACGTTCCTTTACATTTTTTTAAATTTAACAATTGGTTACAACTCCTACTACCGGGGTGTTTTTCAACGTAAGCGACGTATCCTTCGCTCTTTTAATGTCCTTAGACCGCACGCAGACAGCAGCCAGTTGCGTATTCCATTTGCGAACATTGCAAAAGCGCAAATAATCGATCCTCTATCCAATTAAATCGCATATTTGCACCACAAAGTGGGCTGGCGATAAATTCAATTGCGTTCGCATGATACGATCGCGGGACGCGTGATCCGACGAACACTGATTTTCCGACTCAGTTGGCGTATTGGACAGTGCCACTGTCTCTTGCGCCAGAGTATGTGGGTTCGATCTCCACTACTGGAATAATATTGCATTACACTCACTTACTGATAGCTAAATCACTACCACCGGTTCGGGAAAAAAAGCCAGTGAAATGAGAAGAACCGGCGAAAGAAACTCAGCGGGCTACAGTCTTGTTTTGTTGACTCACCTCGTAATGGCTTTTTCGCCTATCACAATTACATTAAACCCGTGCCTTTAATAAGGTAGAAATGAAATTTTGTTCTCGCTCGATGGAAACTTTCCATTCGTTCTCTCGCTGACGTAGACGATGGCGGTGACGTCATCTCCCGCTGGTGAATGAATGAAATCACAGCGCAGAATAAACAGAGAGCGTTCGGCGACTATTGGTTTTATTTCGATGCCACAGTGTACGCTGGTGCAGCGGTCGAAGTGTCGGTTTATTCTCGAATATCCGGACAGTTGTGATGACATTATTGTAAACTAACATTCTTAGTAATCCTTATCAATGACGCGTTTCTTTTACCGTTAAGCCGGCGTGTACTCGTGTAACGATTTTTTTATGTGAGAAGGTGGCAAACGAGATGGCGGGTGATGATGCTGTTAAGTGATAACCACCGCCCATCGACATTGCAACACCCGTAGGGTTTCAGATGCGTTGCCACCTTTATAATAAAATGGGCCCCGGCTATCTCAGTCACCAGACGAAACGCACGGACGAAGTATAACACTTCCGCTTGACGCCGGTCTTCTATGAGGTCGTGGTACTTAACCGGACGGACCTGCCCGCCCAATCGTGCAATATCGAACACTACTGCGAAGTTATTCTATAAACTGTCTTTGACCTACCACAGAATAATATGTAGTGAGTGCTTTAAATGTGAAAAGGTAAACGTGAAATAAGAAATTAAATATAACAGATGCAAATACTCGCATAATATGTATGTGATATTAAAA